GTTCATTGGAACTAACATTTATTTAGCTTATTTATAATAATTGCTTTTAAGTCTTTGTTAATTCTGACATCTAGCCCTTCTCAGTTGTGCTTGTTGGGTTTTGTTGTTGCTGTTTTTAATTTAATTACTTGACTAACTTAGTGAAGTTAGTTTCCCATTCACTGTGAATGAAGTCTCTGATTTCGTTTCTTAGAAGGTGCAGCCTTGGGCATGCACATAGTCACCTGGGGTGACAGAGCTTCTAAAAAGCTTCTCTGTTTTCCTGATTTCTTTGTTAACCTATCTGCCTTTGCTGGTGTCAAACTTAGATATTAGCTCCATGGCAATGGATTGCTCTTTGTTTTGATGATGTACTAGTGCTTAAATTGTTCTGTAGTCTGATCCAATTAGATCTGGGCCTTTTTGCAGAAATTTTTGAAGTTAAGGTCTTTGAGGCTTGTTATGACCCTCAAAAGAGCCTTAAGAAAGGCTCTTTTTACCTTTTTCTCTGTTCTCTCTGGTAAATTACCTAGCTTAAAAATAACCGAATGTGTTCTCTGGTGGAACTACCAGCTCCCTTTTCATTTTTTACCATGAAATTTTCCATTGTCCTTGAGAGTTCCCTTAGTCCTGAACTTCCCCACACTCTTCCAGCTAAAATCAGTTCCTTTGGGGAAAGCTTCAGTGTTCTCTGTTCTTATGGCTTCCTCTTCCCTGGAGTGGGGGGGGGGGGTCTATCACTCCTCTATAGGGAGGGGTGTTACAGATCTGTTTCTCTAGAGTTGGTATGCCTACCTTATGATCAGAACTCAATTGGGATGGTAGCTTCTGGTCTTCTTAGTTTGCCTGTCCTGGCATGGAAACGTCACCTTATGAGCATCTAGGAAAAGGGTGATCAGAGTCCTGGTACTCTTGGCCTGCTGCACCTGGGGTAAAGCCTCCACCCTGAGTGGGAGCTGCGTGGAGGGAGTCCTGACGTTTTGGCTGCACTTGCCTGCAGAACAGCCTTTGTAACACAAGCCTAGGGGTATGAGAAATACTGGCTGCCTCGCCTCCTTGGGAGATACCACAGGACGTGAGTGGGGAGGAGAGGATATGTCTTCTTGGACATATCTACTCAGAATGGTTTCTGTAGCACTGAGCTGTGTGTGGGGTGGTGGCAGTGGTGATGGTTTAAGGCAAGAATAAGTGATGGTGTAAATGCCACCAGGCTGTTAATGTGCGTGTGTTTTTGAAGTGAACATCACCTCAAGATTTTATTGTCTTCATAATATAACAAAATATGGATAGAACTGGATCAGTTGGCCCTTTCTCTTATCTCCTCCCAGTTCAAAATGCTTGCATCTCTTAAGAGACAGCATTCTTAGGTCTGCAATTGGGGTCAATAAATTCAAGCCTCAGCACAATCTTCTTTGTAGTTTTAGCCTTTTTCCAGAAAATCGGCTTAGTCTCCCCACCATAGCATAGCCCCTCTGCTTCCTGTCATAATGCCACTTTCCCTGGACATAAAATCTTTGCCTTTCTTATACTGTGTCACTTTGTGGGGTTGGTGTTTGCCACACTTCTTGCAGAAAGTCCGGTGGGTTTTAGGAATGTTCACTATGTTTCCGAGAGCGCTATCTGCATGGGAAAAAAAAAAAAAAAGCCAAGCTCTTAATGTTCTTCTAGAGATTTAGATTTTCTTGAATGTTTCTTCTTTTGCTATAAGACCTTAAGACAATTTGCAGAGACCTTAAATTGTTGTTTGAAAAAACTTTTTTTGACCAATCATCATAGTTAGGGTGAACATGTTGCCATTCCAGAAGTCATCTATTTGTTGCTAATATTGTACAGTTTGCCTCACCAAAAATACTTTAAAACAAAGGACGTATATTCATATTCCTTAGGATATTTTAAAAATGAAATTTTGATGATCTCAAAACCCAAATATTATGAATTTAGAAAAGAATAAAAATTCTCAATAGATCTTTTGAGTTTAAAAAAATTTATCATTCAGAAAAAAACTCAGTAAAATAAAACACATCCAAGGTAAAAAAGATATCAAGACATGGAATTGTAAGAGCAAACTTTTCCATTATTTTAAGTATAATAATTATAACCGCTTTTTTGCTTATTTGTAAATCACTGTTTGCTTTTTGATATTTTTCTTTCACATTGAGGATTATATTTTAATACACAATATAAAATCATAATGCCCAGAAACACCAGTTACCATCACAAGAGCAATGCTCTTCATTCATTGCTTATCCAATTCACATGGTTGCTAGTATCAGGAAGAGTAATAATCAAACAGGTTTATAAATCTTCTTTTTCCTTTAAATGCTATTCATGGATGGCTGTCTTTTAAAAATTCTAGAACATAAATGGGAGTTTTCTTTTTACAGATCATATGGCCTTTTAAGTATCTTGTTTAATGTTGCTTACTACTGACTTTACAAAAGCCATGGGTGTTGAGTATGTGTGCATAATATTTTTAATAGCAAGAGAATGATCAGAGAATATTATTTGAACCAAAAAAATCCATATCAAGTGAAACTTTCATTTGTTTTTGCCATTTCTGTTACACTTCTAACAAAGGAATTACACAAATTATAGTTAAGAGAAAAAAAAAGATCTCATGTACTTGGGACTTACAGGTAAAAAGTTTTGCTAATAATTTTAAAACAGCACTGTTTCTTTACTGCAATGACAATTATTTTTAGTTCACAAAACAGATATACAGTTACTAGACATTTAAATTATTTTACAAAATTTTAAAACTTCTTTAACTCAGAATTTGACAGTTCAAACTATGCAGCAGTTCAAAGTGAAGTTTATATTTTCACTATAACCAAGTATAAAAAGAATGGCAACTAATTCCATCCTAATCCAGAAACCCATTTTAAAGAATCTGAGAACAACTGCTTAAATGTAAACAGTAAACAGAGAACAGATGACCACTTGTCACGGATATTTTACAAACAGATTTCTGCAGGCTTTGGAAGTTAGGCTAGTGTTCAGTCATTTGTAAGTCCCTTCTAATTCTAAAATTCTATGATTTTATAGTTCTCCTAACAGTTTTATCAAGAAAGTTATTTCTTCTCACCATTATTGCCAGATTACATCATCACACATAAATGGAAATTTTAGTATGTTACTGTATGTGCTTAAAATAAATGTCATCTTTCAGAATATGCTGCAGTTCGCATGAGTCTGCCCCCATTTGTTCCAGATTGAGACTGTGTCCATTTGTTTCAGACTGAGTTTCATCATGCTTGAATAGGACCTATTTCCTTTACTTGGCAAGATAATAAACAGTACAGTAGACAAAATGAATTTTTAAAACATTCACCAAATGTTACATCTCGCATTCAGAAATAACCAGCTATACCTCAAACTCCCTATGCTAAACTATGATAATTTATTTAAATGCAAACAGCTGGCATACATGCTGCTTGTTCAGTTCTCTCCAGAGATTTATGTTTGTTATGAAAAGAAACTCCAGGTTAAATCATAATGTTAAGATGCTAAGTAATTAGGATTGCCACTTTTACAATTCAGTGTTGGATTCTTGGTTTTGGAGACACAAACACACATACACACACACATTTCCTTTCACGTAGACAACAATAAGATATATGCTTTGCAAGATGTTTACTCATATCCTCCAGGAATTGCTAGACAGATGAAATATAAAACCAAACTACTTTATGGGTTTCCAAAACACTGATGAGATCCATGAATAACTAGAAAACATCCTCTGATTCCATAAAGTTAGTTCTATATGTTATCAGAACATACAACTTCAAGTAATCTTTTGATTATAACTTTCTATTTTTGAAATACTGGTTCATAAAAAATCAAGGTATTATCCACTGGCCTCATAGCAGTAAGTCACATTGAAAACCATAGCTACGAAAGACACTTTTGAATGTCATTGTTTCATATTTTTAATACTGCCTTAAAAGGTCTGTTACTCTTCAACTATCTCAGCGTACTTAGAAATATAAAATAATTGTAAATTGGAACAATTATTCTAAATCTAAGTAGATAATTCCTAAGGCAGCATCTGTTTACTCAGAACATATTTTCATTTCAAATGTGTAACTAAAACTTCTCACAAAGTCAGAATACAACTCATAGTTTGAACAGAAACTTCAGTGTTTAAATTTCAACATTCAGTAACATAAGCAGTACATAGTAGATTGCTCTGGAATACAAATCACTCATTTAAGTAAATGGGATATAATTTCTAACTTGTGTTAAAAGTGAAAAAAATCCTTTTTTACGTGAAGATGTGACCAAAATCAATTGGTCATATTATGGTACAAATCAAACTCTACTGACACAACACTTTCGTTAGAGATTTGGGTACAAATTGTTATATCTAACAACAGTTGGGAACTAGAAGCTCCTTAATGTTGGGGATAATGAAAGAAAAAGGCATACTATGGATCAGGCCCCCATTTTTATTACTTTATTCATAACAATGCCTACTTTATTGAAGAACATCTCTTCCACTGGAGATATGCTTCTAATTTAAAAATTAGTGGGGAAAAAAAGATGGACCCACTTTTAAAATTTCATACTTATTTACTCATATTGACTAGGTATAGAATGACTCTTCAATTCCTGCTCTGAAGACAACCAATTTATTTTTTTAAGCATTGACTTGTCAATTTATCTTTGACAAGTGATTAAGATAAACAAATCTTCTGACTTTACAAATAAGAATATGTGAGTAAGAATATATATATTCTGAGAAGTTATATCTCGTGATCTGACCTATACTTCTGACTTACAATGTAACTACATTCTTTTAATAACCTGCATTAATTTTAAATTTTAAACTTAAATTGTCCTTGCTATACTGTTCACAATCACTTTACTTTTCATTTTTACATTTCTATAAATACCCAAACAAAACTCCTCAATTTGAAACCAACTTACATTGGAGTTCTGAGGTTAGTTTACAACTTTTAAGATATTTTGTTAAAATGTAAAAACCCTGAAATTACAAACAAAAAATTTACAATTTTATAGTATATATCTAATTTATTTTTTTAAAAAAATATTCTGAATGTTTTTATACAAGTACTCAAGTGTTATTTTTTTCAAATGAAACTCCTTATAGGCTAGAAGAGGGTGTGTGGTGTTGCCCCATTAAAAACCAATACAAACATCATTTTTCTATGCTGGCACTTCAACTATTTCAAAGTAGTCATTCGGCAAAATCACGTAACCTCTCTCTGATATGTCGTCCTTCTCTTTCTGGAAGTGAACAACCTCCTTTAATTTTTCAAGCTGTCGTTCTTGTCTTCTGCATCGCTGCTGTGCAGTCTTGAGCTTCTTTCGGAGTTTTTCAACTTGTTGTTCTAGCTGATGAATCCTTTTTCTCTGGTGCATTGTATCCTCCACAGTATAGTTGTGGTCACAGAAAACTGAGAGATTATCAGGGGTCTGAAGAGGAGGCATTAGTAATCCAATAGTAGCATCCACCTGGGAAATGGGAGGTGTTAAAGGAGGCGGGGGAAGCTGTTCTTGTGGCTCCAGAAGATCTTCCTTCTACAACAACAATGCAGAGTATGTTCAAGTTTAGTAACTACAAATAACAGTTTAAAAGAATCCACCTGTGGAATTTAAGAATGACATTTTTACAAACTGGATTACCTAAAAGAAAAGGTTAAATTTACAGAAACATACAATCTTCCAAGAACAAATCAGGAAGAAATAGAAAATATGAATAGATCCATCATTAGTGATGAAATTGAAAAGGTAATCAAAAAACTCCCAAAGACAAGAGTCCAGTACCAGATGGTAAATTCTACCAAATATTTAAACAGTTAATACCTATTCTCCTCAAAATACTCCAAAAAAACAGAAGAGAAAGGACTTCTAAATACATTCTGTAAGGCCAGCATTACCCTGGTATCAAAAACAACAACAACAAAGAACTACAGGCCAATATCCCTGTTGAACATAGATGCAAAAATAAATATGAGCATATTTGACAATACAGTAAAAGGATCATTCACCATGATCAAGTGGGATTTATTCCAGGGATGCAAGGATGGTCCAATATTCATAAGTCAATGTGAAACATTACATTAACAAAACAAATGATAAAATCATATGACCATTTCAGTAATTACAGAAAAAGCATTTGACAAAACTCAATACCCATTCGTGATAAAAAGTCTCAACAAAGTTGCCTTAGAGGGAACATACCTCAAAATAATCAAGGTTATATATGAAAAATCCACAGCTAACATCACACTCAGTGGTGAAAAACTGAGAGCCTCTCCTCTAAGATCAGAAACAAGACAAGAGGGGCACCTGGGTGGCTCAGTGTGTTAAAGCCTCTACCTTCGGCTCAGGTCATGATCCCAGTGTCCTGGGATCGAGCCCCGCATCGGGCTCTCTGCTCAGCAGGGAGCCTGCTTCCCTTCCTCTCTCTCTTCCTGCCTCTCTGCCTAATTGTGATCTCTTTCTGTCAAATAAATAAAATCTTTAAAAAAAGGAAAGAAAAAGAAACAAGATGTCCACTCTTACCACTTTCATTCAACATAGTACTAGAAGTACTAGCCATAGCAATCAGAAAAGAAAAATAAATAAAAGGCATCCAAATTGGTAAGGAAGAAGTAAAATTATCACTATTTGCAGATGACATGATACTATATATAGAAAACCCAAAAGACACCAACAAAAAACTACTAGAGGTAGTAAGTGAATCCAGTGAAGTTGCAGGATACAAAATTAATATATGGAAATCAGTTGTGTTTCTATACACTAATAATGAAGTAGCAGTAAAAGAAATTAAGAAAACAAATCCATTTATAATTGCACCAAATAGAATGAAACACCTAGGAATAAATTTTACCAAGGTGAAAGACCTAAACTCTGAAAACTGTAAAACAATGATGAAACAAATTGAAGATGACACAAATAAATGAAAAGATATATAACCTTATCATGGATTGGAAGAATTAACATTATTTATTTGTTTGTTTTAGAGATTTAAACTATTTGTTTGACAGAGAGGGGGCACAAGCAGGGGGAGTGGCAGGCAGAGGGCAAAGCAGCCTTCATGTCAACCAAGGGAGTCCAACGTGGGACTCGATTCCAGGACCCTGGGATCATGACCTGAGCCAAAGGCAGCCGCTTCACTGACTGAGCCACCCAGGTGTCCCAAGAATTAACATTGTTAAAATGTCCATACTACCCAAAGCAATCTACAGACTCAGTGCAATCCCTATGAAAATACCAACAGCATTTTTCAAAGAACTAGAAAAAAATAGTCTTAACATTTGTATGGAACCACAAGAGACCCCAAGTAACCAAAGCACACTTGCATGAGAAGAATAAATCTGGATATATCACAATCCCAGTTTTCAAGGTATACTACAAAGCTGCAGAATCAAATTGGCACAAAAACAGAAACATAGATCAGTGGAACAGAACAGAGAGCCCCAAAATAAACCCTTGCAGTTAGTTAATCTACAACAAAAGAGTTAAGAATATATAATAGGGAAAAGACAGACTCTACAATAAATGGTGCTGGAGAAAGTACAGTTAGATGAAAAAGAATGAAACTGGACCACTTTTTATATACCACACACAAAACTAAGTTAAAAACAGATTAAAGACTTAAATGTGAGACCTGAAACCATAAAAATCCTAGAAGAAAACACAGGCAGTAATTTCTTTGAGATCAGCTTTAGCAACATTTTTCTAGATGTGACTCCTCCGGCAAGGAAAACAGAAGCAAAATAAACAATAGTGACTACACCAAAATAAAAAGCTTTTGCATAGGGCAGGAAACCATCAACAAATGCAACTAGTGTGGGGCGCCTGGGTGGCCCAGACGGAGAAGCACTCCACTCTTGATTTTGGCTCAGGTCATGGTCTCAGGGTTGTAAGACTGAGTCCTGTGTTGGACTCTGTGCTCAGCAGGGTAGTCTACTTGAGATACTCTCTTTCCCTCTGCCCCCATGCACAATCTCTCTAAAATAAATAAATCTTTTTAAAAAATTAAATTAAAATTAAAAAGTAACATATGGGACACCTGAGTGACTCAGTCAGTTAAGTGTCTGTCTTCGGGTCAGGTCATGATCCCAGGTCCTGGGATTGAGTCCCAAGTCAGGCTCTTTGCTCAGCAGGGAGCATGCTTCTCTCTCAGCAGGTCCATTTCCCTGCTTGCGCTTTCTCTCTTTCTCTCCCATTCTGATAAATAAATAATAATAAAAAACATGCAACCTATTGAATGCAAAAAGATATCTGCAAACAATATATCTGACAAAGAGTTAATTACCCAAATATATACAGAACTTACACAACACTATACCAAGGAAATAAACAATCCATTAAAAAAAAATGGGCAGAGGACAGGGACATTATCCCAAAGACCTACACATGGCCAACAAACATGAAAAGATGCTCAACATCACTAATCATCAAGGAAATGAAAATCGAAACCGCAATGAGTTATCACCTTATATCTGTCAGAGTGACTAGTATCAAAAAGACAAGAAATAACAAGTGTTGGTGAGGTTATGGAAAAAAGGGAACCCTCTTGCACTGTTGGGAGAATGCAAGTTGGTCCAGCGACTGTGGAAACCAATATGGACGTTTCTCAAAAACTTAAGAATAGAATTACCATATGATCCAGTAATTCCACTACTGGGTATTTACCCAAAGAAAATGAAAACACTAATTTGAAAAGATATATGCACCCCTATGTTGGCTGTATTATTTATAATAGCCCAGATATGAAAGCAACCTAAGCATCCATTAACAGATGAATGCATAGAGATGTTCTGTGTGTTTGTGTGTGTAGAGGGTATACATATATATCTATACATACATATATACACACACACACATACACACACGAATATTACTCAGCTATAAAAAATAATGAGCTCTTGCCATTTTGTGACAACAGGCATGGACCTAGAGGGTACCATGCTAAGTGAAGAAAGCCAGAGAAAGACAAATAAATACCATGTGATTTCACTCATATGTGAAATCTAAAAAACAAAACAACTGAAAAACAAAAAAGCAGAAACAGACCCATAAATACAGAGAACAAAGTGATGATTGCCTGAGGGGAGAAGATGGGGGGCTGGGGGATGGAAAAAATGGGCAGAGCGAGGTACAGGTTTCCAGTTATGGAATGAACAAGACAAAGGATGAAAGGTACAGCATAGAGAATATGGTCAGCAGTGTTCTAATTGCCTTATATGGTGACAGATGGTAGCTATAGTGTGGTAAGCACAGCCTAATAGGTAGATTTGTCTAATGTTGTACACCTGAAACTAATGTAACACCATCATGTGTCAGCTGTACTTCGATTAAAAAGAAGGAATATTAGACTTTTTTTTTGTGAAGCCTTGAAATAGGAACATTCTAAAATGAGAAAACAGTTTAAGTTTTAATTATACTTTTACACCTGAAGTAGAAATGGGATGCAAGAAAGAGAACTGGTAAGATTTAATGAAATACCAAGCACTTAAAACTGAGGGTGGGGGGCGCCTGGGTGGTTCAGTGGATTAAGCCTCTGCCTTCGGCTCAGGACAGGCTCAGGTTCCCGGGATTGAGCCCCACATCAAGCTCTCTGCTCAGAGGGGAGCCTGCTTCCCCTTCTCTCTCTCTGCCTGCCTCTCTGCCTACTTGTGATCTCTCTTTCTCTCTGTCAAATAAATAAATAAAATCTTAAAAAAAAAAAAAAAAACTGAGGGGGAAATATTTGAAACTGAATGGTCCCTGATAAAGAAAACCCAAGGGCGCCTGGGTGGCTCAGTGGGTTAAAGCCTCTGCCTTCTGCTCAGGTCATGATCCCAGGGTCCTGGGATCGAGCCCCGCATCGGGCTCTCTGCTCAGTGGCGAGCCTGCTTCCCCTTCTCTCTCTGCCTAGCTCTCTGCCTACTTGTGATTTCTCTCTCTGTCAAATAAATAAAGAAATTTAAAAAAAAAAAAAAAAAGAAAACCCAAAACTTATCAACGTACATGTAGAGGTAGAGAGTGACCTTAAGGTAAATTACAAAGCTAGACTGACTTTCTTGATGTAAAGATGTTTAACTTAAATAAATTGTACTTTGTATTTTTAAAAAGTATATCATGGTTAACAGTGGTTATCTTACAAGTGATGGCTTCCAGTAAGATTTATTAACACTACTCTGAATTTTCCACAATAAAAACATTAATTTTATAAATAGCCCAGTATTTTAAAACACACGTTACCTTATCATGTGGCTCAGTACAGAGAAATATCGTGGGTACAGCATTCTCTTTGAGCAACTTGTTGTTGCACTCCCTCTTAAAGCAGTCCGGGGTAAAGTGTTCTGAACAGATACTGCTATACTTGGTGGGCTTAAAGTTTTTCCTTCGGACAGCAGCCTCCCATTTTTTGCAAAGACTGGGTCGAGTAAGAGGAAACCTAAGAAGAAGACATAATTCAGTTCTCTGACCTTCTTTTAAAAGGAAAAAAAAAGGACATCCAGACTTTCCTGATTAGGAAAGACCTATCTTATACTGGTGTTAACAAGCTAAGGGACATCTGATTAAAACCCTAGGGCTGCTATCTTTTTTTTTTTTTTTTTGACAGTTTTTGATTGTACCTTTATTCACCTTAATTAAGAATGTACTTGTTTGAAAGATCCTTTAAATAAAGTGACCACCCACCGCTGTGTGACATAAGTTGGGCCTCTCCGCATGGAGTTTTTTTTTTTTTAAAGCAGTATTTGGGGGTGTTGGATGTAACACTGAATTTTACTCCTGAAACCAATATTGCACTGTATGTTAGCTAGTTCGAGTTTAAATAAAAATTAAAAAAAAATAAATAAAAAGCAGTATTTGTTATAGGAAACTTTTGATCACAGAGTAGTTACAAGAATGTCAGATACAATGATGTATACAATTTAAACAGGACAGGCTGATTAAAAATTTATGAAATGTAAAAATATACATATTAAAAGTCAGCCATGCAGACAGATGCATGCAGTAGGAAAAGGAGGTGGGAAGTCAAGGGACATACGCAGTAATATTGCTTGTCTTCCTCTATACAGTAAATAACTTTCACTAACTGATACAGGTTGGTATTACACACACATCTAAATATACAAAGGTAAGTGGTGTATCTCCTCTATCTCAATTATTAATGTTTAACTTTTTATGTCAAAGACACTAAGAGTTTCAGGTAAAATACTTACGAAAGGGTGAATCTCTACTGATTTTTTTTTTTAACCAATGAAAACAAAATTGCATGTTTATATCTACATATTGCAAAAAAGAAGGTTCTAGTTCTCTTAGGATCAGTCTGACAAATATGAATTAATCAAATGATAACCAATGATAAATTTAAAATTTCACTCATTTATTTGTTTATATAATATGTCTGGAGAAGACTGGAATTGAAAGGGAGTGGTCTATTAGTTTCATGAACTGGGATGTCCAAGTCTCTCCCCAGGTTTGGGAAGTTCTTATTTATTTTTTAATTTTTAAAATGTTTATTTATTTTAGTCTTCCAATTTATTTTTAATTCCAGCATAAGAATATTACTTTTCTTAATTTACCTCAAAATCAACCGGAATATGTCTATCTGGAAGGCGCAGATAAGGGGGCTTGGGAAGAGTTTAAATTTATTGTGATTTTACTTTTCCAGGTCAAGTATTTAGTGAACTGGGGAGACTGGAAAGAAGCCAAAGGATGTCTGAACCTGTTCCAGTTTCTCTTCCATGTAAGGCATGCTAGAGCCTAACTCTGCTATCACGAAGAACTAACCAATCTTTGGGACAGTTCTTTCCTTTGTCCAGAACCGCTGCTACCACGGGGCCACCATGTAGAAACTAGTACGGGTAAAAGTACCCCTAGAAGATCCCTGCTGGAAATGGCCTCCAGAAATACAAACTGTCGTAGCAATCACTGGTAAAATTCAGCTCCTTGCACCTCCTGTCTCAAGCACTACAAAATGCTCAGGCTGTTTATGGAGGTCTGTCAAGATGTTTCCCATCTAGTCCCCCCAAAATCGTTCTTTATAGCTAAGAATGAGAGGCAGACCAGCTCTTCCTGTGATTCATTTAACAGCCAGCAGAAACTATTTCTGATGTATGAATGCCAGCCTTGGTTTCCAGTACCGGTGAGAGGTTTTCCACATTTTTAGATTCTTTCTGAGATATCATTAGAAACGGGGTTTGTGGGGAGCAGACTGTATGCAACTGTGTCACCATCTTCTGATCGATTTCTACACTTTCAAAGAACTGGAACTCATCAGCTTTAAGAAATTCCAGTAAATTAAAGAAGTAATACCAGTAGATCCTGAAGTAAGTTTAAGGGCAGGGGGTGGTGGTGGTGGGACATCAATCAATACTCAAGACCTACATTGTAAGGCACTCGTTTCTATTGGGTTCCTCTCAAATCAAACATCAAGGGCATCTACATCCCCTGTTAAACACAAACGACCTCACCAAGAGAACTGAAGAAATATTTAAGTTTTGCCCTGGTAATTATTTACCTATGAATAATTGCTATAATTTACCAGAGGGGTTCATTTCTTAGCTGTCATCTATTTACAGTTGGGAATTCTTGCAGAACAAGTTAATGGAAATGCAGAAAAATCTGCAAATACTGCATTTGGCTGAATGAAAACGCCGCCGTGTCCCTTTTTGCAGACATCCGATGATCATTAAGTTGTTTTCATTTTGCAGTTTTCTTTTCCCATTTTCAAGAGAACATGTCTCCCTCCAGGGCTCTAACTGCAGCACTTTCTGGATGAAACAGGCCTGGAAGTCGTGGGGCAGGTGCTTTTCCCAGGGCTTCCCCCAGGCGCCCGTGACAGGTCACCCTGAGTCCTATCAGGACACCGGACTTCGGCCGGTGTCGTTATTGTCCACGTTATCGCTGCCGAGCGCGGAAAACGGCAAGTGTTCATCTGGGCCGGACCAGGAGCTTCTCTACACTTGGAGGTCCTTAAAGGTTAGTTCCTAGAAATTGGGTAAGCACGTCCTCCCTGAAATCCTGGCCCGAAACCAATGTCTCCCATCCACAGCAAGGATGGCAAAAAGTGGCTTCGTCATTTTAAAGGTCTTTGCCTCGATTCCAAACTCACTTCCAAGGCGCCGTTGCCACCTGGCTTCTCTACTACCCCAGGGCGAGATCCAGGTGCCTCCCGGCTTTGAGAACCTCACGGCGCGCGCGGGGGCCGTCGGACTTCGCTCCTGGGTCGCGAACACGCCAACCCGAGGCCACCAGCGAACCTTGCGCACGGGTTCCGACCCTCGAGCGCGAGAAACGGTCATCGCGGCGACGCGCGCCAAGAACGCGCAGCCCTGGGCGGTGGGGCACGAGCGCCAACCCGGGGGCGGGCACGCCCACCGCGCGCGGCCGGAGAGACCATGAAGAGAGCCCGATCGTGCCCCGCCCCTGCCTCCGCCCCTTCCCCGCCCCTCCCATTAGGTCTCGCGCGGACACGCGCCTGGCTCCGCCCCCGAGCCTAACCGGCCGCGCGCCCCCCAGCCCGAGTTGGGGCCAGCCCCGCGAGACGCGCAGGGTACCTACTTGTGGAAAGAAACGGGCTTGTCCTTATCATATCGGTTCTTGCAGCCGTAGGCGGAACAGGACTGCACCATCCTTTCGGTCTTCAGCCACTTCACTTCGACCGCTCCAGCAGGCAGGCGAAGCTGCTATCAATGTCGCCGCGCTGGGCTTTGACGCCCTCGCTTCTTCTGTAGCTTTGGTCAACACTCAGAGTGATGATAAGCTCACTAGGGTTGACTATTGTACCCGTTTTGTTGTTTGCATTAGCGGAAGGACCACAGCCATCGCCCGTCTCCCATCTCCAAGATGGCGGAGGCAGCTTCAACCTCACCTCTCGCGAGGAGTCTGTCTCACTGTCTCTGATTAGCCCCGAGGTCAGAGGTAACGTTCCTTGGGAAGCAGCCCATTGGCTAAGGCCGAGCGTTGCGGAAGTAGGTGGGGCCTCGAGCTTCCGGAAGGGGTGTTTGGGAGGAGAGGCGAGGGGAGGGGACGGGACGTGAGTGTAGGGTAAGGCTCAGCAACCTGTATGACTTCCTTGTGTTAATTTATCCGGGACGGTTTAGGGTGGAGAGCAGCGCGGTCTTTGGGTCTGGTAGCCTGAAGAAGGACAGGTGTTAAAGCTGAGGTCGTTGGGTAATCTTCCCATTGATTTAAAAGGACAGCCACGGATGGTGTATGATTTATCAGTGAAACTTCGTGGATCCCTCTCCCACATCGCCAGTTTTCATCCCATTACCTGTCGCTGCAGGTATAACAAAGACTCTTGAGAGCTCAGGCGCCAGAATTCTGGCAATGAAAGAAGACACCCAGTCCCTTCTGAAGGCTCCCATCGCTGTAGTGTTCTGCACGTGCTGTTGGAAATCATGAACTGCTGCGGCTGTTTTCCCACCATCTGCCTCCTGGTGCGTGCTCCTCCCCTCTGTGTAGATCAGAGCCTGTAAATCTGGATAGCAGGCTGTTGACAAACTCCATGGCTCTATTACACTTTTCCTGATCCACTCTCCCCCTCCCGCCCCAACCCCCCTTAAATCCTGATGTTTCCCCAGGGTTCCATCCTCTGCCCTCCTCTGACTCTAAACACCCTGCTGCTTGAATTAAATAAAATGCTATGATTTCCTAAATCTTCTATTTCTTATGTAAATTTTCCTGCCTTCGGATTATCATCCGTGAATTATCTATTCATTTGCTTAAACCGGAAACCTTAGTTTTCTTTCTCACCCTCTACATGTGTTTGATGGCCAGGTTAATTGTATAGCATAAGTAAATACTTAGTAAACCCACCCCCCTCCATCTCTCTTTTAATTGTTCTTGATCAGGCCCTCAGACGAACGCAACAACCCCTGACCATCTCCAGTTTTGCCTCTCCAGTCTTTCCTCCATATTAAGTAATTGTCATACACCTGTTCACATCACTCAGAAGCTACCTCCTCTACTGGATAAAATCCAGACTTCTAATGGTGAGTCATAAAGTCCTTGAGGACCAGCTACCTCTACTTTTTCACCATCATCTCCACCCACTTGTCTTTAACTTAACTCTTTCCTAGTATTCTATTTTACATAAGACAGGCATTCTCCTGGCTTACGTAAATAGGCTGTTTTCCCTTAGCTTAAAATGCCTTTCTCTGGCCTCTCCACCTTCACAATGTGACCTCAGTGGTTATGTGTCCTAACAAGCTTTCCTTATCCTCTTTTTCTTAAGCTGCCCAACTTGGGCATCTCTCTTGCTCCAATGAAAATTTGCACTTAACCTCTCTATATGATTTTGAACCATACTGTAATATGTGTCCTTGTCTCACTTCATGAACTAAGATCCTGTTGAGGAGGAGGACTTTGTCTTACTTAGCCTTGTTACCCCATCAGCTTGCAGTGTCTGGCATAAATTAAGTATCTAGAAAATGTCTGTTAAATCAACTGGGCCCAGAAACCTTGTGCCTAAAATAATTTCAGAGCCATATCCCTTTACCAAATACTAAAATAATTTATTTTATTAGCATTTCTAGGGATAGACAGGCAGTAAATTCCTCTGTGGTTTGCTGTCAGTAAGGATCAGAATGTGATAACTGCTTGTGAACTGAAAAGTATATTTTAACTAAGAGTTCACTGAAATTCTTTACTCATTAATAGATTCAGCAAATATTTACTAAATACTTACTAAACATTTCCTAGGTTCTAGGGGCTTGGGATGCATGTGAATAAGACAAAGATTTCTGCCCACCAAAGTGGGGGGTTTGGGGGGTAGCGAAGGAAAAAATGAAACAAGATGGGATAGGGAGGGAGACAAACCATAAGAGACTCTTAATGTCACAAAACAAACTGAGGATTGGGGGGGGAAGTAGGGAGAGGGTGATTGGGTTATGGACATTAGGGAAGGTATGTGCTATGGTGAGTGCTGTGACGTGTATAAACCTGGCAATTCACAGACCTGTACCCCTGGGGCTAATAATACATTATATGTTAATAAAAAATTAAAAAATTTCTGCTCTCATGGAGCTAATGTTCTAGTGGAGGTTAGAGAAGGCAGACAGAGAACATACGACCATATGTCATATTAAAAGGTGAAAAGAGGGGGCGCCTGGGTGGCTCAGTGGGTTAAGCCTCTGCCTTCGGCCCAGGTCATGATCTCAGGGTTCTGGGATCGAGCCTCACACGGGGCTCTCTGCTCAGTGGGGAGCCTGCTTCCCCCCTCTCTCTGCCTGCCTCTCTGCCTACTTGTGATCTCTGTCAAATAAATAAATAAAATCTTAAAAAAAAAAAAAAGGTGAAAAGAGCTCTGTGGTTTGGAGGGGATTGCAATTTTAAATACAATGGTTAGGATATGCCTAATAGAGGAAGTGACTCGAGCTAAGATTTGGAATGGGGAAGAGCTAGCCAGGAGGATATCTGTGGGAAGAGCCTTGCAGGCAGAGGGAATGGATAAGGCAAAACTCCTGAGGCTCAGTGTCCCCAGCCTATACAAAGAACAGTAAAGGGGCCTGTGTGGCTGGAGCAGACTGAGCTGGGCTGGGTGGGGAGATGAAGATGACAAATATACAGCCAGGGTAAACAGGATGAGGCCATGCAGGGACTGGTAAGGACTTCTGACTTTGACTCTGAGATGGACAACATGCTTTAAGCAGAGTAGTGATCCAGTGTTTTAAAGCAATCACTCTGCTGTGTTGAATATAGATAGCAGGGGCATCTTAGAGGCAGGGAGACTGACTGGTAGGCAGGCTTCTGTGACAATGCAGGTGAGAGATGATGGCTTATACCTCGGTGGTAAAAACGAAGGAGTAAGAAGTGATCTTGTCTTCTCTCCCTTTTCCCCCTTCCATTTCTTTATTAATTTTTATTAATTTCTTTATTAACTTTTATTGAGTAGATGGCAGGCATTATGCTAGGTCTTGCTCTTGGTGAGCAAGATTAACAGTGCCTCTCTTCACAGAGCTTATCCTAGTGAGGGAAGACAGACAAAAAAATGTGAATAAAATCACATTGTGCTTGGGTGCCTGGGTGGCTCAGTCAGTTAACCATCTGCTTTCAGCTCAGGTCATGATCCCAGGGTCCTGGGATCAAGCCCAGCATCAGGCTCCCTGCTCAGCAGGAAGCAAGCTTCTCCCTCTCCCCCTGCTTGAATTCCCTCTCTTGCGGTGTCTCTCTCGGTCAAATAAATAAGATCTTTAAAAAATAATAATATTGTGCTGAGATGCCTGAATACATTAGAATGTTATAAGGGTTAATGAGGTTAGAGGAGGGCTAACTTACTTTAGTTTGGGTAGTTAGGTCGTCAGAGACGTGAACATTTTGCTGAGGACTAAAGAATGGGAAAAAATCTAGTAATAAAAGAATGAAAATGGGGAGGCCAGGAGGAGCATTCTCCATACAGGGAGTGTGTACTAAGGCCCTGTGGCAGTAGTTAGTGAGTTTCGTATTTTCTGGGAACTGAATGGAGGCTGGGGTGTAGACCTAGGGAGCCAGGGGGAAAAGGACATGAAGTGAAGTTGAAGTAGGTGATTTTTAAATGCAGAAGGAAGCCAATGAACCTTTTTAGGCAGTGGAGAGACGTGACATTTTTAAGCATCATTCTGGCCATTAGCTGAAGAGTTTATCAGAGGGGCAGCAGTGCACGTGAGTTGCAGACCATTTAAGAGGCCAGTGCAGGCAAGTAATACAGGGTGGTAATTTGGACTAAGGTAGTGGCAGTGGAGATGGAATGACCAGGATATGAGTGTAGTTGGAGGTAGAAATGTCAAGGCTTGGTGCTGACAGATGGATGTGAGAATGAGGAAGAGAGAGGAATCAAGGTATTAAGGTTGATTTGTACTTGAATTTCTGACTTGAGCATTTAGATGGAGGGATGGTGGTACCTTTTACCGAAATGCAGATGGCCTTTAAAAAAGAAGAGAGCTATATACACCCCCCACCAAACAGAGGACTTGCAGGATGGGAGCAATTTATGAAGTGGGGTCATAAGCTCTGGGAGTGTAGGACTGGGAAATGTCGGAAGAGAAAGAATGTATGAAAGTGTGCAGAGGTTGGTAATGCAAGCCACTAAAGAAACATGCAAGGATCACACCAACCACTGCAGAGCACCCTTTTGAGGTCTCTGATCATTTTTAATCCGTTTAGAGTGGAACTAGTCAATTTCATTATTTGGTTGGGTTTCCCTCAATGAAATTCTCTTCTATACTCCCCTTTTTTCTGTTTTCTTTCTTCCAGCTCTCCGTAACTTGGAAGTGAAATCTACATTTTTATTATTTATTGAAAATAATCCTAATGTTTCCTTACTCTGAAATTAAGTTAGAATAGAAATTTCTTAATAGAAGAGTAATTTCAACTTTCTCTAAACAAATTTACACTCACTGTCTGTTTTTCTTCTCTCCCTTGCCTGTTTCTTCTCAACATTTCATAAGGCTTAAAGAACTACTCTCTACTTGTCAAGGGGTGACTGCCAGGAACATTTACTTTCAAAGATGATAATCTGTCTTTTTAACAATCCAAATGTCCATTGTGGTATAGTCATACAAAGGAATACTATACAGCAATCAAAGTTAAAGAAACTGTGACCCACAACAATATGGATGGTTCCTACCTAATATCAAAGAAGTCACGCAAAAGCAAATATAGGATCCTATTTTTTTAAAGAGTAAAAAAGGTAAGTAAAAGTCAGAAGAAGTTACTTTGGGGTAGAGAGGCAACAAAAGGGGGCTTACAGGATAGTGGTAATGTGTCTTTTGACAGAGGTGAGAGTTAAACACTACGTTCACTTTATGATAATTCATCATCTGATCCTGATGATTTAGAAAATCTCTGGTGTAAGTACACTGAGGATTGCTGGAGGGGAGGTGGGTGGAAGGATAGGGTAATTGGGAGACAGGCATTAAAGAGATCACCTGATGTAATGAGCACTGGGTGTTATATGCAACTGATGAATCACTAAATTCTATGCCCAAAACCATTAATATACTATCTGTTAAACTGAATTTAAATAAAAAAATTTTTTTAAATCCCTGGTGTTTATTCTACTTTAATAGTTTACTACGCAAACAAGGGCTATACAAGATAGGCAAAATTGCCTTTCTTTTACAAAACAGGAAAAATGTTTATGTACTCATTTGATCTCTTCATTTGGTCCCTTTACATAAAGTGTCAAAAATGAAAATATCTCTTAGCTTTATATGCCCATCTAAAGGAATGAGAATAAATAGGGGTAAATTGAGGAAGGCTGGTTAAAAGTCTGATGTTTTTCAAAGTCTTAAGAGGCCAAGAGCTAATTTATTAATTGATTTTTTTTAAGGAAATAATACAGATTTTAAGGGGAAAAAAGAAAATGTAACCCTTGAAAGGGTAAGTTCTGTCAATTACTCAAAAAGGGTAAACTGTCTTGTTGGATAAACTGGAAAAAAACAAGCTACTTGTTTTGATGTAGGAGAGGGATAACAACTAAAGATGTTTTAAACTCACTAATATCTAGTAGCTCAGATTTTAATTTCTATCCAACTATGCTCTTTTTTCTATAAACAACTTTTATTAAAAATACCCTAGCATTCATTTTCTCTGGCCCTCAATATCCTTATCTATAGAGTAAAGCTATGGGACTAAATGAAGAATTCTTAATTTGGAATCCATGAATGGCCAGGTCTTTGAATCATCTGAAAATGAAAGAAAATGATACATACATGTGTATATGTGCATTTTTCTGGGGAGCTATCTATAGCTTTCATCTGGTTTCCTAAGGTCCCTTCCAGTCTAATATTCTAGGATTAGTGAAACAAAGATTAATTTTCATGTAGATATAAATTAAAGGTTTCCTCTAAGACTGATTAGAAGGATTAGTGTTTTAATCTGAATGTCAGGTATTATTTTCTTGGGTTTTTTTTTCCCAAGATTTATTTACTTATTTTAGAGAGAGAGCGGACAGAGGGGAAGAGAGAAAGAATCTTTTTTTTTTTTTTTAAGATTTTTATTTATTTATTTGACATAGAGAGATCACAAGCAGGCAGAGAGGCAGGCAGAGAGAGGAAGGGAAGCACGCTCTCTGCTGAGCAGCGCGCCCAATGCAGGACTCAATCCCAGGACCCTGAGCTCATGACCTGAGCTGAAGGCAGAGACTTATACCACTGAGCCACCCAGGTACCCCCCAGAGAAAGAATCTTAAGCAGGTTCCTCACCTAGCATGAAGCCTGACACGGGGCTCAATCTCACAACCCTGAGATCATGACCTAAGCCACAACCAAGAGTTGGTCACTTAACTGACTGAGCCACCCAGGCGCCCCATGAATGTCCCACATTTTTAAACACCTTTTCAAAATTTTGTTTTTAAACAAAATCCAAACTGTTAGATACCGGTTTTAAACATTGTTAGCCTTTAGCCCTCTCCTATGTCACATGTTATACTGCCCTCAAAAGGCCTACAGCTAAATACCACTAGTCTGAAAGAGAGAATAAGGACCGTGTCC